CTTTCTAAGCTTTCTTTGATTATTAAAAAAACTTAAAATCACAATATTTGAACCCCATTTCCCAGACATACCAGGCCTGATTTGATTCAGACTTGGTACTACAATGTATATGAACTTCCAACAAATGGTGGTCATGTTACCGAGTTGTTTTATTCTCATTGCTCCTTAACTATTTCTAAGACATACTTTTACCAGTTTTGTTCCCAGTTGGAACTAAGTATGAAAATTAGAACTTGCATCATTTTTACAGAATAAATACTGAATACAAAGACTAAGTGAATCAATTTGTATATACATTCATTTTTGTGGAATGGAAATTTAAAATGAAGTGTATTTTAAAAAAAAAACCCAGTGATGTTTTCTCTCGCTCCTGAAATGGAGGGAATGTATCAGTCTGTATGTCTATCTCTTATGGGAGGAGTGCAAATGTAAATCTGCTTTGCTGTGTTAGAAATATAGCTTAAAGTTAAGAGACAACTTGTGAAAAATACTGTTTAATCACAGCCACTCTGACTTTATATATCACTTGGGATTTGACTGAAGTGTGTGAAAGTTATGGTCAAAAGTTTGTTTGATGGAAAATACTGAGAAAATTCAGTTTGTGTCTCCTCCATTAACTTAAAGATATTTAGAACATTACTGCATGATTTTCATATTTTAAACTATGTAATGTGCACAGCCAAATTTCAAATTATGCCCATTGCCAGACGTACAATGAGACCTTTTCAGTACTGTACTGCAGTTTGTGTTTTTAATCAAAATGTATTTCCTGTGTTTGTAGGCTGCAAGCGAGCCCTCCGTATTATTCAGTTCACCTCCAAAAGATTTGTGGACATTAATTCTCGTCAACCCAGGTAAGCCCTCCACTTTTCTTCAGGAAATAGGTGGTTTTTAGACTTCTCTTCTGTTTTTTATAATGATTATTGTCTAACTATGATTTTTATACATTCAAGGGTTTTGTCAGTGCTTATTGCTCGATGTTGGAGATCAAATGTTCAGCTTTTGCTAGAGAATAAATTTCCATTCACTGTATTTACTCTATGTGGAATCCAAAACACAAACATGAACAATGAACCATATCTGGCCAAACTTTAACAATGATGGTTATCTTTAATTAACAACACTGTTTGCTGCATAGCAGCTGTTCATGGCAATGTTTAATACAAATTTCATTGAATCATAGGTTAAAATATCTCACATGCTATTTTTTCAAAATCATGTACATGAATACAGGCATGGATGTAAAGGCATATATTCATTATAGATTAGAATTGACAGTCCAGTAATTGCTGTAATTCTTACATTCTATGTTTTAATCATACAATGTATACCAGTTTATGGGGGGGGTTAATTAGGTTAGATTCCATTTTTAATTATTTATCTATTGAGAAACATGTTATGTTCAATTTTCAGATGGTCATTTATTAGATAATAATGCTGAATATTTGCATTGGATGGTGTAAGTAAAAAGTGTATTTAATGTATCCATATCTACTGTAAAGTACTGTACCTATTTTCCTATATTTTTCAACTGTATTCAACTGTTCGTCTAGCTGCCTGTTATGTAGTCACCTGCTTCCTCAAATTACTTTCAAATTTTTTTTTTTTATTTGCTGATGTATGCCCTCATTGTTTGATTATCTTAAAACTTTTGTTTATTCTAATCAATTACTATGTAATATTTCAGTGGCAACATACCTGGTAATGACATCAGCAAAGGAGAGGTTGTATGTGACTATATAAAACCATTCCCAGCTCAGGGTACCGGGTATCATAGGTTTATATTCATTCTATTCAAGCAGGACGGATGCATTGATTTTAGCCAAGACAAAAGAAACTCGCCATGGTATATTTTACAGCTTTGTATTACATATGGATACACAATAATGAATGTTATCTCATTAAAGGGGTAAAAAATAAGGGATTGAGGGACAACCACAAATTATAGATGTCTGATAAAAAACTTAATTCCTTTAGTTTTAGAATCGATTCAGCTGTGTACCGGTACTTAATTATTAGGAATTAGATCGCTACAAATGTTATAACATAGGAAAAAAGAGATCATTTCTTCAAATATTACATGATCTGGTGTGAAAATTTTTTGACTCCCATGTGTGTAGCACACAATGGGAGCATTTGCGTTTACCCTGTCTGTATGTACTTATACATTTATGTCTTTATGTCTGTCCATACAGTACAGCTGGTCTAATTTTAATAAAACTTGTTTCTCTAGAACAATGCACAAATGTGCTCAGTTTTAGGTTAAAATCAGCTCTTATTAATATCCTAATCTCAAGTCCTAATCACATTTCAATGAAACTTGGTACAGATACTCTGTGAAATTGCGCAGACCCATATTAGTTTTCTTCATTTCCTGATTTGCATAGTAGTCAGTTTTCAGCTCTTCCATTGATATCTCAAGTAATTATTAACTAATATGCATAATCATTTACTTTTTGGCTTTTCAAAAAAAATTTTAAGAATTAATCATCACATTACAATGAAACTGATAAGTAAGTGCCCCGGAACAATGCACAGATCTAGTTAAGTGTAGGTTGAAATCTGTGCATAATAATTGCTTAATATACATAATAATTACCCAATTTTCTACCTGTATCTCAGAAAAACAATTATTTCATTGCAATAGGACTTGGTATACAAGTGTCTGGAAACAATGCTAAAGATCTAATTAGTTTTGGATTGAATTAAAGCGTACTAATTGCCTAAATTTCATAGTCATCACATTTCACTGAAATTTGGTTCATAGATGCTCTAGGGTAATTCACAGACATGATTAGTTTAATGTTACAGCATGCATATTGATTATCAAAAAATTATTAGCCTATTTCTAATCTCAAACAATCAGATTTCAATTGAGGTGCCTTGGGATATAGTAAGACTGCAAATCACAGATTTATTTTCTGTAAGTACCGTATTATAAACTTCAATAATGTGGATTTCATCGTTTTCACGTTGTGCAAATCAAGAAGCAGATAAATATTAGTTGCCAAGCATTATGCTTGAAAGGTTAATCTTCAATTTTGAAACAGTTTTAATATGCCTCCAAGGCTCTCATCAGTTCTTTTATTGATTATCTGTATTTTATATGTAATGTTTTTAATGTTCATGTCTGTATGTATATCTGATGATACCAATGAATGTATCATTGACAATTATCATTCTGTTTATCATTGCATAACTTCCAACTATTATGTGAATTGTCATTCTATCTACAGTCACAGCTTGAAAGAGAGGACTTTTCGAACATTAGATTTTTACAGACGTTATGAAGACGTGATCACTCCCGGTGGACTGAATTTCTTCCAGTGTCGATGGGATAAATCAGTTACTGACATGTACCGTCAAACTCTGAGTAAGTAAAGTGAAGGACATGCAACTATGGTCCTCCTATTCCTACATTCATGTTACTGGATCTTGGCATGTGCAAACATTTTTGACTCCCATGTGCGAAGCACAAAATGGGAGTCTTTGCAGTTAGTGTGTCTGTATGTGTGTATGTGTGTATGTGTGTATGTGTGTGTGTATGTGTGTCCGACTGTTCCACTGCTATCTCAAGAACCATACATCGGTTTTTGATGAAACTTGGTGCATAGATGCTCTGGGCCAATGCGCAGATTTGATTAGGTTTTGGTAAAAATCCATGCTCGTTAATTACCTAATTTGCATGATAATTAGCTAATTTTTAGCTGTTCTATGACTGTTCCACTGATATCTAAAGAACCACTCATTGGATTTTGATGAAACTTGGTACATAGATGCTCTAAACATATGCGCAGATTTGATTAATTTTTGGTAAAAATCCGTGCATATTAATTACCTAATTTGCATGATAATTAGCTATTTTTTAGTGGTTCCATGACTGTTCCACTGATATCTAAACAACCACTCATTGGATTTTGATGAAACTTGGTACATAGATGCTCTGAACTAATG